GAACACTCCACTGTGGTGAGGAGAACCCTATGCATGTGTGAGTGTGGAAGACTGAGCTTCCTGGGTGAGTCTATTCACCTCATTTGGGTGTTGGAGGGAATGCAGAGTGTGGAGACTTCGAAGGACTCTTTGAGATGGAAGCTGCATTGATAATCAAAAGTTCTTCAGTGTTGGAATCCAGATGGGAAGGAACAAAATGTCTCTGCCATCAGATGAACATGGTGATAATGAAGAAGGCATGCTGGGAAGACTGGGTATCCTGCTGCTCATTTATCTGGCTGAGAGAGAACCTGGGGAGGAAGAGCCAGGCCTTCTCTTTCCTCGGGTTTACCTGGAGAGAGATGGCCTGTGGGTCATCAGCCTAGATCTGCCGTTCATCCCTGGACAAGAGGAAAGAGAGGCCTCTGCACTTGCTCCAAGTCCCATTCCTAAAGGTGAAGCTTCTGAAGTCACTGTGCTGACTGAGTGAGGGCAGATTGAGAATGGACCGACCATGTGTCCTAGGGAGGTTGGAGGCCCCGGCTGGTTTATCTACTGGCTTGTTGCCACATAAACTTGCATCCCACAGTGAGGACATGCAATCTTCTAATGGCATCAGAAAGATTTGCTAAGATTTACATTTGTAAACATAATAGATGGAACATTAAAGTTTCAGTACTTGGAGTAAATCCTGAGTATCGATCAACTGTGCAAAAGATTAATTTGAACCACAGTCCAAGTTGAGTATGTAAGCACGCCAGCAAGATTTCTGAGGCAAAATTATCAATGTACACTTCCCAGTCCCCAGATCACTTTTAATAAACATGTAACAACTACTTCATTTCTAACTAAGACATCAAATGTTCCTGAGAACTTGACCTTCTCTGTGGGGAAATCAATCAAACTATGATAAGCAATGAATGTTCTGAACAAACATTAAGAGCTGGGGAAATAAGAAATATACTTATGATGACAAAGATTATTTCTTTCTCCAGAATTTTTTCCCTCATGTGCATCAGACTAGAAAGTCTTAGAGGCTGAGAAAGTTTAAGAAGTAGTTTGAAATTCTAAGTACAAGGTGTGTGTGTGTGTGTGTGTGTGTGTGTGTGTGTGTGTGTGTGTGTGTAGCTCAGCTGGTATGGTGTTTGCCTGGTGTGAATTAGGCTGTGGGTCTGATCATAAACTGGGTATGGTGGTTTGTGATCCCAGCACTGGGGAGGTAGAAGCAGGAGGGTCAAAAATTCAAGGCCATCCTTGCTACATAGGGAGTTCAAGGCCAGCCTTGGCTACATGGAACCCTACCGTAAATAAAATAATAAATTCTAAGTATGAAAATAATTCTTGTATACATATTAAGGTATAAAGTCATATCAGACAGTCAGGGAAGCAATCAGAAACTATACCTTAAGTTAGAGAGAGAGAGAGAGAAAAAAAAAAGGCAGATATACGGAATTGGGTCCAGTGCACAGTCTGGGTTCATTCAGCTGGTCTTTGAGGGTAAAACAGCAAGGTCTCCTATAGTGTTAGTTACATGCCTAGTGTTGTCTCAAGCAATTTAAACATATTGACATGTTTTGCCAACTCGATGAGTTAGAGTTTATTCTATTCATTTCATAGATAATGGAGTCATGGCCCAGATCAGTTAAGCAATTTATCCAAAGTCACAGAGTCAGTAAATAACAGCACTGAAAATGTAATCCCAAGGAGTCCAGAGGCAAGGTTCTGTAGCCCAGGCTGACCTTGAACTCACAACAATCCTCTTGCTTCAGTCCTGGTATTATATGTATGCACTATCACACTTTGCAAGACTGTGGTCTTAACCACATAGAATCTCAAGATTCACGTATGACCACTAGCAACAACAACAATAATAATAATTTTAGCTGTTTCTTCCTATGTTAAAACCCAAGGTAAAAGTTGGATATTAATGAGATACAAGCTTGCAGATCCCTGATCACTGTTCTATAGCAAGCCATATCCACAGTCTCATCTTCTTTTGTCCTGGATTGTGATTGACAGGCAAGGGGCTGGCCCTGGAAGGTTCTGAAAGCCTCTAGTTGACTGCCAGCTCACAGTTCATCTCAGGAATTCTCTATCTATAGATTACTTAATGTGGGCTGTGGAGACATGCCCCCGACTCCAGGCACCAGTGCCTGCTCCAAGGCCATCTGAGGACTGGCTGGTGACCTGCAGAATGGCTTCTGCTGAGCCATTTGACCACTGTGGTGACTGGCCCAGTCAGGCTGCTCTGTGAGACTCCTCATGAAAGCAGTGTGCAGCCATGAGGAGAGGGCACCCTGGGGTGGGAGGGGCTGGGCTAGCTGGGAGAGTCAGGTCATCTGCTGGCTGGTGGGTAGGGGCCAAATGATGAGACACCAGGCTTGCGGACTTGCTTGCTGCAGAGCTCCTGGGTGACAGGGCTGTGGTGGCATCCTGGAGCATCACAGGTGATGTCTGTGAAGACGGCAGTGTGAATGTGGAGCTGTTCTCTTGCAAACCCTTAGAAGTAAGTCCTGTCCTCTGAGAGTGCGTTCATCCTTTCCTGTGATAGAATATCTGGACAAAATGCCAAAATGCAGCTTAGCAGGGGAAGGTGTGTTTTTAATGCATAATTCCAGTTGCAGCCCAGGAGTGAAGTCATGGGATTGGAGACTTGAAGCAGGTAGTCACGTCACAGCCACAGTCAAGAGCAGAAAGAAGTGTTTGCTGGTACTCACCACCTGACTGTTTTTCCTCTACTCCTGTATAGTTCAGGGCCACAGACCAAGGAGTGACGCCATACACTATGATGACATATTGTGTACCCTAATAAACTTGCCTGAGGATCAGAGGACAGAGCCAGCCATTAGATTAGACAGAGAAGCCGGGTAGTGGTGGCATATACCCTTAATCCTATCGCTTGGGAGGCAGAGAACTCTGTGAGTTCAAGGCCACACTGGAAACAGAGCCAGGCAGTGGTGGCACACACCTTTAATCCCAGTACTGGGAAACACACACACACACACACACACACACACACACACACACACACACACACACACGCATGCACGCACGCACGCTCGTGCCTTTAATCCCAGGCAGTGAGGCAGGACAGAGAAAGGTATATAAGGTGTGAGGAAACAGGAACTAAGGCAGTTCAGCTGAGACCCTTTCCAGTGAGCACTGAAAGGCTTTCAATCTGAGGATCCCTGGAAACAGGATTGGCTGAGGAGTTGGCGAGGTGAGGTTGGCTGTGGCTTGCTCTGCTTCTCTGATCTTTCAGCTTTTACCCCAATATCTGGCCCCCGGTTTTTTTTATTAAAAGACCGTCTAAGATTCAAACAACAATTCACTTTCAGGCTGGCTCTTCCCACATCAGGAAAGGCTGTCATGACAAGCCAGCATATACATGCGCACAGGGCACCCTCATCTAGACAGTCCCTCACTGAGATTCTCTTCCTAGGCGATTTACTTGTGTCAAGTTGACAATCGAAGCCATTTTTGCAACTGACAATAAAAAAGAGCGCAGCAACTCGGGCACTCGGACCCCCTTTCTCCATTTCCCTTCCCTCGAGGCCACCTACTGAGCCAACTCTGTCTGCCAGCCTTCATTCCCAACCCCTCTCCACTCTGAGTCCCTCACCCTCTTACAGAAGCCCATAAGGAGCGCCCAATAGGACTCACTTGAGGAACAGCATTTGCTTAAAAATCATTCCGATAAGAATTTCCAATGAGTTTTAGGCTCATTTGCAAAAGAAAAACCTTGACATTTTCTGATCAGTAGCCTATCCCTGCTGATTGGAATCAGAACACATGGAAATTTTCCAAGCTGGATTTCAGCAAAAGTGCTTGCATAATGGTGACGCGGGGCTGAACAATAACTATCATGATTTATGAACACACGGATTCCTTTGGGTCTGCTTTACCTTGGTGAGGTGTCATTCATCAGCCTTGACAGCCCCTCAGACTCCATGTCACAACACACCAATCTTCCGCAGGTCGAGATGCTCAGAATAATGGATTGTTACCCACCTCGCTGCTCATACTTAATCTATTAATATTGTTTCCAGGAATAACAAATACTTAAAACATTTTTTTTAATTTAGGGGTCTCATGGGTTCAAAAATATACGCTTAGTAACATGAACCCCGAATTAAAACTCTGCACCACAAAAATAAATTATTTATGAGCTGGGAAGGTACTGGGGCCCCTGGATCTACAAGACGAATATTAGGTCATCTTCTTGCCTCTCCAGCCATCCTCCACCAGTGCCCACTGCACTGACGGGTCTGTGAGATCCTGCTGCAAGGGCCCCCCCCTCCTCAGCCTCTCCTTACCCAGTGTTTCCTGCTGCATGAATCCCCCAGCCTCTCCTTACCCATTAGTTTCCTGTTGGTTCTTTCCACCATCCCAGGTGGTTGACTTTTATCTATTTGAAAAAAAGGCCTTATCATTTACACTCTCCTTTCTTCCATTCTTCCCCCTCCTTTCTCTTCCTCTACCCCTCTTCCTCTCTTGTCCTAGAACTCAATACGTAGTCCAGAACGGCTTCAAACTCTCGTCAATCCTCCTGCCTCAGCCTCCCAAGTGCTGGGGTTACAGGCATTAACGACCTAATGGTGGTTTGGGCAGACAGGCTCTCCAGCACAGTTTGCTGGGATTCCCATCCTCAGATGACTACGGTTTTCCTGTGCCCTGATGTTCCACATATGGACGCAGCTCACATTTGGCTGCATCCCTGAGAATTTTCCAGTACCCTCTATCAGCCCAGTGATCCCAAGAAAGCAGGTTTTATGGCAGGTCCTGCTGTTTCATAGGCATCTGAGGATCGTAAGCTCTGCTGTCTCAGGTGCCTCTGTGAGCACTCTGTTGTCCTAGCTTAACTCTATGATATCATCCTGAGTAATCTTCCCCGTGGGACTCCTTCCTTCCTTCTGCTCTTAGACCTGGACATACATTATTTGTTACCATTTAGGCTTCCTGAGAGTTAGCAACCAACTGTTGCCGTGAAAACGGAGGCCAGCCCTTACAATTCCTCTCACATGGCCCATAAGGCAATCCCAGCTGCAGTGTGTGTTGACTTCGTGTTTAACAACCAGCCATCTGTTGCTTGTCAACATTGCGTCACACAGGCTGCGTGAACCACAGGGTAGGCTGTGGTTACTAAGTGGGGTAAGCGGGTTTCGACAATAGAAAGATCTGTCTCTCTCGGGCCTGATTCAGGGAGCCTCTCAAAGGCAATGAAGACACCTTCCATTCTGGTTCAGAAACCTTCCTGAAGGAAAGGGTCTCAAGGATGAGGTGGGTGACCCCGAATTATCCACAAGCCCTGGTCTTCTTGGGCACAGAAACCGGAGTTATTGGCTCCCCCGGAAGGGAAAGCGCAGCCACCTGTTGTGACTCACACGGGCTGTCCGGTAATGGCTTCCGGGTTTGCCTTCCAATTAAGAAGCTGAACAGAAGGACGGAGATTGTCTAGTTGAGCCTGTGGGGCAACAGGTGTTCAGACCATGAGTCCATGAGGCCACGCCCAGCGTGGGGACTTAGTCTGAAAATGAATTCTGATCTTTAAAAGTACTGAGAGCAGGGGCTGGGGATGCAGCTCAGTTGGTAGCACCTAGCATGCACAAAGCTCTGAGCTCAGTCCTCAGCACTGCCTAACCAGGCGTGGAGGCAGGAGGATCCCAAAGTTCAAGGTTATCCTTGACTACACAGAGAGGTCAACCCAGCCCCCAAGAGACTATCTATCTACACACGCGCACGCGCACACACACACACTGACATAGACACACACACACAGTGGTTGTGAGCTGATATATATTATTTATATATTACATAATATAGATTTTTATATAGTAATTGTGTTTTAAATTGTATAGAAATAAGCCGGGTGGTGGTGGCGCACGCCTTTAATCCCAGCACTCGGGAGGCAGAGCCAGGCGGATCTCTGTGAGTTCGAGGCCAGCCTGGGCTACCAAGTGAGTTCTAGGAAAGGCGCAAAGCTACACAAGAGAAACCCTGTCTCGAAAAACCAAAAAAAAAAAAAAGTATAGAAATAATACATTATATATAATTTTTTAATTGGAAAATAAAAATTACTGAACCCTGTCGTGGGGTCTGAAAACAAGTGAGTCACTTCCTATTGTTGAAGGAATAAACAGGAACTTACGTCACAGATTCAGTGGTTCGGGGCCATAGAGCCTCTGGTCATAGCCGTCTTAGGACTTGGAACTGCCTTTCTAAGAAGCTACCAGATAAAACACCACCGCTGGGGGAAGGCTGAGCGGGGAGGAAGCTGGGGGAGTGGGTAGAGAGCGAGGAGGTCGGAAAGAAGGGTCTGCAGCTGAGAGAACTTGGAAATGTGGGAACAGCCCTCCTCCCCTCCAGCCTGCGGGCCTCCCTGAGGGGTTCCAACCAGGCACTTGGAATCTGGAACAAGAGAGACCCACGAACTATGTATGACCCATCCCCGTGGGACCATAGAGGGCCAGCGATGTCTCCAGGACAGAAGCCAGCCCTCAGCTTGTGTGAAAGATTTCTGCCGGCCTGTGGTGGCGCATGCCTTTAATCCCAGCACTCGGGAGGCAGAGCCAGGAGGATCTCTGTGAGTTCAAGGCCAGCCTGGGCTACAGTGTGAGTTCCAGGAAAGGTGCAAAACTACACAGAGAAACCCTGTCTCGAAAAAACAAAAGAGAGAGAGAGAGAGAGAGAGAGAGAGAGAGAGAGAGAGAGATTTCTGAGAGTTCAGCTTGTTCTGAGACCAGTGTCAACCCCAAATTCAGACTCTTGAATGGACTGTTTCCTGAAAGGCCTTTGAAGGGCTGTGTGTGGTAGCGCAGGACTACAGCTCCAGCTAGCAGGGAGGTGAGATGGCTCAGCAGTTAGCTAGGTCCAGCTCTCAGGTCATGTGGCTCACAAGCACGTGTAACTCGAGCTTCAGGGGATCCAATGCTCTCTCTCTCTCTCTACACACACACACACACACACACACACACACAGAGAGAGAGAGAGAGAGAGAGAGAGAGAGAGAGAGAGAGAGAGAGAGAGAGACATAGAGGCAGATAGACATACACGCACACATACAGTAGAAACACAGAGAGACACATATACACATACATATAGACAGAAACACATACACATACACACACACACACACAGCTGCTGAGTTAAGGGGTCACATAACTTCGTAATCAGAATTGGTTTCATGGTAATTTTTTTAAATCGAAGCCCTTCCCTGCTTTTCTCTTAAGAGAAAATACAACTGTTACTGACTGGGAACAAACCAAAGTTACTTTCTAGTTCAGCACACTGGGTTGAGGGGGTCTTGTGGAGAGACACACTTGCTTGATACTTCTGCACCAAAACTGAGTGTGGTGATTCACACCAGAACCCCAGCTGCCCTGGAGGGGGGGGGGGGCTGGAAGAGCATTTCAGTTCAGGAATTTGAGGCCAGCCTGGGCAAATAGTGAGACCCTGTCTCAAAGGGAAAAAAAAAGACAATCTTAAGTCATCACTCCTTCACTCTGTTTTTTGAGACAGGGTTTCTTGTAGCCCAGGCTGGCCTCAAATTCACCATGTAACAAGACTGGCCTGATCCTTCTGCCTCCATCTCCTGTGTCCTAGGATTATAGGCATGTGTCACCATGCCCAGATTCTTCATTCTATTTTGGGGAGATAAATCACTACCCTCCCCCAACTCTTTCATGTATAGCACACCTGCTTCGGTAGACGCCCATATTGTGACAGTGATCAATTCCCTGTTGATTTGGTTTGTCCCAGACACGTGCCGGCCGGCCTGCCTGCCTTATGACTAATGCACACCTTAAGAAGCCCTAAATAGCTGACCTGCCATTCTGGTTTTTTGGTAATAGGCCCACGTCTGGTCTCTCTTCCTCATCTAGCTGAGGCAGTTGATGCTGAGGTAACTTTCCTGTTTCTGCCCTGCAGGGGCATGGATGAGGTTAGCTACTCACGCTCTACTTCTGTGCAGAGGGGCCTGGAAGTGTAGCTCAGGCAGTAGAGCTCTTGCATAGTCCGCCCAAAGCCTAGGGTTTAGTCTCCAGCACTGTGCGGTGTATAATCCCAGTTCTTGGGAGGTAGAGGCAGGGGGATCAAAGTCATTCTTGGTCACATAGTGAGTTCAAGCCTGGGTGACATGAGATCATCTCTCAAAACAACACACACACACACACACACACACACACACACACACACACACACGCGGTGGGAGGGAGCAGAGGAGTGCTTCTAGGCAAGCATAATAAATAATTCTTACTCAGAAAGCTCCTGTCCCCATTCTCTAAGGTCCATGACCTTCTTCCTGAGAGGTAGAAAAAATGAGTTGACCTGTCACCACCCCTCACCCCTGCCCCCGCAGATTTCTTACTTATATCGCATCCCAGAGAGTACCTGAAACTATATGTAAGCCAAACCCAAGGTTAAAAACATCTCTCTCTCTCTCTCTCTCTCTCTCTCTCTCTCTCTCTCTCTCTCTCTCTCTCTCTCTCCATCTGGGGAGCTGGGCTTCACCTTGCAAAGGGCCCTAAACACCCTGACCACACTCCTGCCAGGACACTGTCAGGAGAGCCACAAATCCAAAGACAACCCACCACACCCTATTTTCCAGAAGCTAAAAATACAGATCTCCCCAATAATGATAACTCTACCAATGTATTTTAGCAACAAAAACCCAACTTATCATTTTCCAAAAAACCACAGTGAACACAGTAAAAATATCACAACAGTACAAAAGTCTATTTATTAAAATTAGTCTTCCTAGTTCATACACCAGGTCTCCTCAGTTGCCCCCTCATCCCTTCCCACCAGTCATCAGAATCATACAGAACCTCCTAGAAATGTTCTCTGTGTGACGTACATCTAGTATCATTTAGTTGACATCTAGTGACATCTAGTTGTCATCTAGGTTGACATCTAGTGTCTTCCTCCATCATTCTCCACCTTCTTGTTAAAAATATTTTATTTTTATTTATATGCAGATAGAAAGATAGATGATAGATAGATAGATAGATAGATAGATAGATAGATAGATAGATAGATAGATAGATAGAGTTGTGTGTATAGTGTCCTTAGAGTTCAGAAGAGGGCAGTAAATCCCCCAAAGCTGGAGTCATGGGAGGTTGTGGGCCCCCTAATATGGGTGCTGGGAGCTGAACCCTTGTCTCCTGGAAGAACAGCAAGTGCTCTTAACTGCTGAGCCATCTCTCTGGCCCTTCCACCTAATTCTTTGAGGCTCAGCCACTCACTGAACCTGGAGCTCACCGATTGGCTGGACTAGCTGGCCAGTAAGCCTCTGTGGACCCTATACTTCCCGATTTGCCAGCATGGGGATTTATAGACATGGGCCACTTCTTTAGCTTTTCATGGGCGTGCTGGGGATGTCCACTCAGCAGGTCCTCATGCTTGTAAGATAAGCTCTTTACCCACAGTCATCCCCCAGCCCACTCCTGGAAGTATTGTACATATATTCAGGCACATATCCATTGTCATTGCCCTCCCTTTCTAGTCCATGTGTGAGAACATTCTGAATGAAACTCCTTGTGCCCACCCCACCACCCTTTATTTCCTTGCTCGTTTACGACGCTTCATTTGCTCAGAAGACACCTCGTGCCTGGGGATTCCAGCATTGCCTGGTTCCCTGCTCCCACTACAGAGCACAGATGTTGCCCTGGCTCAAGGATGAGCCAGAGGCTTAGGCACCACACTCTGGAAACAAAGGGGGTTTCCAGCCCTTGTGATCCAAGGTGCTGAGCCTTGGCAGCGCTAGCTGGTCCCTGGAAGGTGACCCGTGTTAGTAAAGACACAAGCTCACAGAACAGATTGTTTATTCCCTAAAACATGACCAAATGTTTATAACTGGATTCGTACCAAGCTTGGGAATTAGAGTCTACTGAAGCCCCGTATGTAGCTCAGTGGCAGAGTATATGCTTAATGTGTGCAAGGCCCTGGGTTTATCCCCAGCACCGCCCCCCCCCCCAAAGAAGAAAGACTCTAGACACTTTGTAAACTTGGAGAATAAGGTACAATGTCTGTCCTAGTTAGGGTTACTATTGCTGTGAAGGGATACCATGACCACAGCAACTCTTATAAAGAAAACATTTCACTGGGGTGGTTCACTTACCGTTTCAGAGGTTCAGTCCATTACCATCATGAAGGGGAGTATGGTGGCATGCAGGCAGATGTGGTGCTGAAGCCAGTCCTACCTTTTTCAAGCAATGGGAAATCGACTGTCATACTGGGCAGTATCCTGAGCATGGGAAACCTCAAAGCCCACCCCACGGTGA